ACTTGATACTACTCTAGTTGTAGAAGTTGCTAGTGGCAAATTCATACCTGTTAGCGATTGCATTAAAAAACATCGTCATCGACTTGAACGAGAATAAATTCCACGAGGAGTTATTAACCATTGAGTTGAACGGTTTCGACATCGTACTGGGAATGAATTGGCTTAGTGCAAACGTCGCCGAAATACTATGCAAGAAGAAGACGGTGAGAGTAAACCCACCAGCAAAAGAGTCATTTATGGTGTATGGGAACAAACGCAGAGTAAATTCTGGAATCAGTTCCCTGATGAAAGCCAGAAAATGTTTGTCCAAAGGATGCACATCATACTTGGCATTTGTGATCGATGAAAAGAAGGAGAAGAAGGAGATACAAAGAATACCAGTGATGTGTGACTATCCGGAAGTCTTTCTCGAAGATCTTCCTGGATTACCCTTTATAGACAAGTGGAGTTTCTAATAGACTTGTTGCCAGGATCGACACCAATAGCGAAATCACCATATCGATTAACCCCGACAGAGATGAAGGAGCTTATGATGCAACTTCAGGAGTTGTTGGACAACAACTTCATTAGACCTAGTTCATCACCCTGGGGAGCTCCGGTGTTATTCGTAAAGAATAAGGATGGAAGCATGAGGATGTGCGTAGACTATAGATAGCTGAACAAGGCAATGTTGAAAAACAAGTGTCCATTGCCAAGGATTGATGACTTACTCGATCAGCTGCAAGGTTCGATCTATTTCTCAAAAATCGATCTTAGGTCGGGATATCATCAGCTGAATGTGAGAGAGCAAGATATTGAGAAGACCATATTCAGAATGGGATACAGACACTATGAGTTCTTGGTTATGTCATTTGGACTAACCAATGCTCAAACATCATCTATGGATTTGATGAACAGGTTTTGTAAACCATTCCTTGATAAATCTTTGATAGTGTTCATAAACGACATTCTGATTTACTCAAAGAGCCAGCAGGAGCATGGCAAGCACATGCGAGAAGTATTAGAAGTTCTGAAGAAGGAGAAGCTGTATGGAAAGTTCTCAAAATGTGATTTCTAGATTCAAGAAGTCCAATTCTTGGGTCATGTGGTTAACCAAGAGGGGATAATGGTTCACCTAGAAAAGATTGAAGCTGTGATGAAATGGGAACGACCAAAAAATCCCACCGAGATTCGAATCTTTCTGGGATTAGTTGGATATTACCGAAGGTTTATCCAAGGCTTTTCTTCGATAGCTGCTCCATTGACAGCTTTGACCCATAAAGGAGCTACATATACATGGAGTGAGAAACAAGAAGAATCATTCGAGAAATTAAAGAAGAAGTTGTATGAAGCATCGATTCTTTCTTTACCTGACGGAGTTGAAGACTTCGCGGTCTATAGCGATGCATCTGGAGTTGGGTTAGGTTGTGTTCTGACCCAAAGAGATAAAGTGATAGCATATGCATCTCGACAACTAAAAGAGCATGAAAAGAACTACCCCACTCATGATCTGGAGTTGGCAGCGGTAGTATTTGCTTTAAAGATATGGAGGCATTATCTTTACGACAAAAAGTGCAAACTCTTCAATATCATAAAAGTCTCTAGTATTCTCTTTGATCAAAAGTAATTGAATATGAGGCAACGACGCTGGCTAGAGTTACTGAAGGATTACGACTGCGAGATACTTTACCACCCTGGTAAAGAAAATGGCGTAGCTGATGCTCTAAGTCGAAAAGTAAACCTGGAAAGGAAGAACATTTAGGCAAGACATTGGTGTTCGGTAAATATAATCAAGGGTTGAAGGTATTCCAAGATAGGATTTGGGTACCTAAGATGGGAGGAATGAGAGATCTTCTGATGGAAGAAGCTCACAAGACCATGTACTCGATTCATTTCGGTAGTACTAAGATGTATAAGGATTTGAAACCTTACTACTGGTGGTCGACGATGAAGCTCGATGTTCCAAAGTATGTGGCAGAGTGTGTAATATGTGCAAGAGTTGAAGCACAACATCAGAAACCGTATGGGAGTTTAGAACCTTTACCTGTACCCATGGGTAAATGGGTAGACATCACCATGTATTTTGTGACTAAACTGCCCAGGATGAAGAACGGTCACGACATGATTTGGGTAGTCATGGATCGATTCACAAAGAGTGCACACTTCATAGCACCCACTGAGAGATGGTCTATGGTCAAGCTTGCAAATGCTTATGTGAAGGAGGTAGTAAGACTTCAGGTGTTCCTTTAACAATTGTATCAGATCGTGATAGTCGTTTCACGTCAAGGTTTTGGAGGAGTCTACAAGAGGAAATGGGTACAAAGTTGTGTTTAAGTACAACCTACCATCCACAGACCGATGGTTAAAGCGAACGAACGATTCAAACACTGGAAGATATGTTAAGAGCATGTACCCTAGAATTTCAAGTTAACTGGGATGAGCACTTACCCCTGGTAGATTTTTCCTACAACAATAGTTACCATTTGAGCATTAAGATGACACCTTATCAAGCTTTGTACAGTTAGAAGTGTCGTACGTCGTCTTGTTGGCTTGAGACTGTTGAAAAGTTAAAAATGATTAGGTAAAGAATGTTAGCAGCTCAAGATCACCAAAAGAGCTATGCTGACAAAAAGTGACGACCAATGACATTCGAAGTTGGAGATTCGGTATTGCTCAAAGTCTCACCGTGGAAGGGACTTATAAGGTTTGGAAAGAGAGGAAAGATGATTCCAAGGTTTATTGGACCATTCAAGGTTCTTCAGAGGATTGGGAACCAAGCTTACAAGTTGGAATTTCCATGATAACTAGATGGAATTCATAACACTTTCCATGTGTGTTATTTGAGGAAGTTTACGGGAGAAGTTCCCAATATAATTCCACTTTCGGAGTTAAGGATGGAAGAAAATAATAGGCTAATCGAAGAGCCTGAGGAAATTGTTGACCGTAAGACAAAGAAATTACGACACATGATGGTCAACTTAGTGCTTGTGCAATGGTAACATACGAATGGGCCGAGGCTTACCTGGGAAACAGAGAGTGACATGATGAGTCGCTATCCACATCTGTTTTCTGAGGCATGATTACTGGACAAAATCATCCTAAGGAAGAGAGAATTGTAACGCCCATGTTTTTAGGCTAAACATTATTATAACGATGTAATAGTTAGGATCAATAATTGTAACATATTTTGAAGTAATGAAGAGGAATTACTTGAGTATTATGTTATTTAGTTGATTTTGTGTGCATTATACTTATTTATAACGACATAATAACAATAATAATAATAATAATAAAACTAAAAATCAAAAATAAAATAATAGATAGACCCAATATCTATGAAGAAAGTTGAAGTAGTCATAACAAGGATTTCGAGGATATAAGGAACACCAAAATCCGACTTATAACGAAGAAGTTATGGCCCGTCGAAGTTTTGCGGCAAAACCGACACAACACCAGGAATCGTAAAAAAGTGAGTTTACAATAAAATATTTTTTATCCTTAGCGATCTAAACTAAAGTCGTAGTATATGATAAACCGAGAGCGTGTATAAAAAGAACGTCCAAATCTGAATTCATATGAGGAAAGTATGGCTTTTCTAAGATTTAGCATAACTGTGCATAACCCGGAATTCGAATTTTAGATCGACCAATTTTTAGCCGACACAATCTAAAAGAGAATTGAAGATCTCGTTAATAGGAGCTCAACGATATAAAGAGAGACGAAAACGGACGTCGGATGACAAAGTTATGAATTTTTAACAGACTTTACCTGTCTAAGCCTGTTAAAATATAACTTTAAAAATAAAAAACAATATTATCCAACAGAGTCTAAATGAAAGTTGTAGATTACATCGTCACCTACATGTGGATATAGAGAACATCAATAACGGATCTCGTATGCAAAAGTTACGAAATTTAGAAGTCGGGACTATACTGTTGCGAGGAGGGTGACGTGGCAAAATCCTAGCCCTTGCTTGTTCTCCACAGTCTCGCATGCGAAGCCGACAGCTGCCCCCTCGTACGTGAAGCCCAACATACCCCGAGGAGTACGCCCAACGTAGTCTGAGGCCAGCTCCTATAAATAGGTGCGAGGTTCTCCTCAATTCTTCATACCTTCACCCTTGTTTCTCTTTCAACAATCCAAAATTATCCATCCCAATCCCTAGTAACTTCCAACTGGTAGAGGCAACTCCGAGAGCACCAGAAGGCTCTGATAAGAAGAGCTTTCGGTTGGGAAGTTCTGCCCCCGCAGAGCCCGATTCCTAGCTAAACCCTCTTATAAGTAAGTTATGCTTACCCTACTTTAAGTATAGCTTATGTTTAAGTTTAATATCATTATTATGAACCTATAAACAACGTGTGTATTATAAAATATAATATACAAAGTGTTATTATAATATCTTTTAACTACTTGCGGTACGGGGAATCTGGTTTGAAGGTCGCATAGGGTTGTTGGATTTCAGTAGTGCTTAAATGCCAAAATGGTGTTGCCCACCAGTGTTTCATGTCTGGCCCCTGTCTGTACATAGTGGTTGAAAAGTATTGTTTAACACTTATAAAACGACATCCCGAAGTTTTTAATATAATGAAAATACATTTCTTCAGAAATTCTTTGATAAATTCTTTATCATATTTTAGGGACAAATTCCGCAACATATTTCTTCAAAAGTATACTTTGATTTTAAAATAAAGCATAAACAAATTGGTATTTTCTGCCATGAAAGTGGGGATGTCACATGCCACCTGTTAAGAGATTATGGTCTTGCCAAATTAGAACACGCTTTAATGTTTCCTTTGTAGGTGGCATGTAATGGTAGATAAACAAATGTATAAAACAAAATTTTGACTTATTTGAATTTCATAAGCCGAACATGGCGATTCAATGACTAGTAGAACAATTGAGCTTTGAGGACTATTTCATGATTCTTAACGAGAATAACAAGATGTAAAAAATCCTATAATGTGAACTGTATTAAAATTTTGAGGTTGAAGATAAGGTTAGTCAATAAGAGTCAAGTATTTCCCTGTTGCACTTAGTGAGTTATCACTTATCAGTTCCATTTCATTGTGATTTCATTCCATCATAACAAATATTCCATAAAAGAAAGGCGATATATGGGATTGAGAGAAAAAAGAAAAAGGAAAAACTATTGTAGTCACCATAAGGGAATAAATGTTGGTCAAAATTCCCTTCCTCATCAATTTCATATTTAGGGCTTTATCAGTCCATACAACATGTTCAAGATGATACCTGTAGATATGATTTCTACTTAGTTTCACCATTTATGAAATCTAAACAAAAGTTAAATCAAAAAATGAAAACTAAACCAATAAATCTCTTTCCATGATTATGAAAAAGGACACGAATTCTTACCAGCATAGCATTTCCTCCTCTGTTGCAGTTGATGCAATTATAAAAGCTTGCAACACAATTAGTGAGATCATTATTAAATTGGTGTTAACAATTTTCAAGTTAAAGCTGTTTATTTTCTCACTATCTTTAAGAAGAAACATCAACTATTACTCACAGATCTGTTGAATTCTAACATGAAGCATCTTTTAACATCTTCTTTTCTAGGTTGGCAACTATATCTATCACACCTTGATTTTTGATCTGAATACATCATGAAATATTCTCTTTTCAAGTTATAAATCAATATGATAAGCATCTTAGCTCATTAATGGTTGGTAGAAATACTAAAGACAATACATCATGAAACAGAGAGAGGCATATATGAGGATGTACCACTAAGAAGTCATCCATTTAACCACTATCTATCATATTTAGATTAATTAATCCCATTATTAAACAGTTAAACCCATTAATATACAATACTAATTACATATACGATCTGATCAATAATATTGGTTGCTTGTTTTGGTTAAGTCTAGAGCCAATCTGTATTAGGGATAATGTAAATGTGAGTGGTGAATAAGGCATAAATTAATCATGAAAAGAGAAGTAACCTGGTAACAAGCGACATGTATCTCAAAAAATGTTGATTGTATATGATTGAACATTGTTGTTATTATCAGTGAAACGAATGTCGGGAATTTTATGACCGCTTACGTATAACATAAATCCTCTTTGACGGCTTCAAGACAAAGAATCAAACAAATACCTAGAAGGATAAGAAGAAACTAACTGAAGTAATGTTTACAAAATCTCTTCTGTACATTTTTGTTCAGAGAGTTGTAGAAACATGGGGAAGAAGGGAGAAAGTACAAACATTATCTCCAGTAGTGGAACCAAAAAATGAGAATGAGAGACAATTATGTCGCAACCGTCGTTGTGATCGTTGTCCATTATGTCGGATGATGGTGCGGATGTGACGCCGTCGGGAAGCCATCACTAGTTTGATGTGGGAACGCATTGCCTCTCTATGACGGTATTCACTGGTCTGATTTGGGGGCTATGTCTATCGATGAATGATTATCCTCTTGGAGGAGTAGATAATTGAATGGTGAAATACAAAGTGAGAAGCCGACTCTATGCTTTGGCGTCTGATTAGGGCACAATATAAATAAAAATAAAAAAACACGTAACTAGGTAAGGGTTAAATTGTAACACTTTTTAATCGAATATGGTAATGCCAAATGAAAATTGGTATTATCAATGACAAATCAGTGGCACAAAAAGTATGTGCCACTAAAAACATTTTATAGTGGCACAAAAGAAAATATGCCATTGAAAACATATGCCACTAAACGTAAATTTATTAGTAGTCTTAGAACATGGTAAAATTCGTTTTCAGATACTGCCTACTAGGTGCTCGATCTAATTCTCATGAAACCCCTTTACAAATCCTACAACACCGATCGCTCCAAGAAATTGTATCATCATGTAGATGATTGTAGAATATTGCCCTAGTTAACGATAGTTTTGTTGCAAATAAAAATCTAAATGTCACAACTGGATTGGTATGCCCCCTCTTTGAGATTTGATCACACTCATTAAAGTCAATACCAAAATGTAGAGGAACAAGAAGGTTGTGATGAACACTTTGATACCATTTCTGTTAAACGACAATGACGACAACTCGTCTGTCTCGAACAATGTCTCTGGTGGGGGCTCCTTGTAGTCTTTATCGGGCCAAGGGATTTGATGATGGCAGGTCTGCAGGTTGTGATGATTTCTAGAAGAATCATGCTTATAATGTTAATGCAAGAAAATTGAAATGACAACAGGGGTTAAAGAAGGTGGGTATGGACCATTGGAGGGGTTAGAGAGTTCTGTAGGTACAACAAGGCTGAAGAAGATATACTTTTCTAATGTACCCACATGAATAATTATAGTCAAAGCTTAAGACAGAAAGAGAGGATAAAGGATGTTGGAGTGGTAATCAGACCCAATTTTGAGGAAGAAGATGATATAGGTTGTTGGGTTATTTTTGATGTCCTTGATGTGTGTGTGAGAGAGAGAGAGAGATTGAGAGAGAGATCCCATATTTAATTTAATAAAACATAAATTTAAATAGAAAAAACATAAGAAATATAATTGGGAGGGCATATTAGTCATTTCATTTTACTGAGGGACCAAATCCGAAATGAAACTAGCTCAATAGGACAACGAAGCCAAAAGAGTCGAGGTTTGGACTAAACCTCAGAAAAAATGTATACCACATGACCAGTTTTGCAATTTAGTCAACTTAAATTTAATTAAGTTAGATAACAATATCATACCAACACATTTCTTTCTTATCTTATCAAGTTGTGGTTTTTTTCACCAGACTCACATTTTAAATCACCATCAATATTATCGTTTTCACCACCCATATAAACTTTTATGTGACTCATTAGAAACAAATCACATTCTGTTTAAGTCTAACCGTCGATCTGTAACACCTTGATCCATGTATTTTCTATTTCTACCCTTAGTATGAAATTTATTAATGGGTCCCTTGGCTCATTATATGAGATCGCGTTTTTGGCCAAGTACGTTGGGCGTACTCAGCTTACGCCGGGTGTAAGTAGCTGAGGGTCAAACCCTAATTTTTAGGGTTTGAGTCCTATTTAAACAACATTATCTCTTCAAGACCTCTTCAAGACCTCTTCAATCCCTCATCAGCCTCCATCTCCCAAATTCGTCCTTAGCAAACCCTAATCCTTTGTGTGTGCATTTTGAGCTTGAAAGCGTGCTTTTGGTGATCTTGAAGGAAGAAGAAAAAAGTAGAATCAACTTTTAAGCTCAAGGCATCTTGGATCCAGAAGTATCTTGCCCTCAAGCTTCATTTGGAGGTATAATTCTTGGATATTGATGTGTTATTTGCTTAAATCTTGTTAGTCTAGAAGTTGTATTCAATTTTGGTCCAATAGTTTAGTCTAATGGAGTATGAGCTACTCCAGGACCTTGAAATGTAGTTTCATGTAGTTTTGAACTTCTAGATTCATAAAAATGAGAGCTTGGACATTCTTATTAATCCCATGCAAGAGTTTGGGAGTTTTGGATGACTTTTGGATCAAGGGTTTGAGTCTTTACCCTCTTGTATGCATGAAAATGGATAAAGTCAGAGACTTTATCCATCAAGACATCCCTTTTTACCTGGATATGAAGTTTAGTGCCTTGGCTTAATGAAATAAGAGCTTAATGGAAAAGTTGAGGTTCATCTCTAGTATGTTGGGTGTACCTGGACGTACGCTGCACATACTAGGGTTCGAACCCATGGATTGTGAAGGCACCCTCTACGCTGGGCGTACACAACCCAAAAGGGATCTTTGACTTTTTGACCTTGACCTTGACCAGGATATTGACCGACTTTGACCTAGGGGTATTTTGGGTATTTTGAGCAGTAGTTTAAGACTAGGACATTGTTTGTTGTATAAGTGATCTCTAGAGTTGGCATTTAGAGCAACGTTCTTTTCTGCTATCATTTCAGACTGTGAGGTGAGTTTTCCTCACTGTACTTGTGGCTCGAAGGCACCAAGGCCGGCCCACTAGATTTTTGTATCCTGGTATATTGGATTGATGTTATGCTAAGTATGTTGTAGATTGGTAGATTTGTATGATTACCTATGTTGTGTTGACTGAGTATGCATTAGATTGGTAGATCTGTATGATTACCTGTGTTGTTGGTCATTGATTATTATTGTATATGTCGATATGTTATGAATTATGGGTTGAGGCGGTCCAGCTTTGTGTTGAAGGACAAGATACCCGTGGTGGTCTTGATAAACTGAAGGCCTGCGAGAAGGTCCAGTCAGGCTGAAGGCCTGGAGAGCGGTCTAGATAGGTTGTAGTCCCTACAAGGCGGTCCAGTTAGGCTGAAGGCTCATATATGCATGATGTTATCTATATTGGTTGTGTTCGGTACTTTGGGGGAACTCACTAAGCTTTGGCTTACAGTTTAAGTTTTATGTTTCAGCTACTTCAGATGATCGGGGAAAAGCAAAGGCGTGACCGTGTACATGCTTTTGATTTTATGATATTTGATTTTGGTATACTCTGATTCATGATTACTACTTTTGGGAACTATATTTTGTAAAAAATTATGATTATTTGGTTGTATTTTAAAAATGAAAATTTCACCTTAATTTGTTGGAAGTTACAAGTTGGTATCAGAGCCCTGGTTTGAGAGAATTGGATGATCATTTGTGTGAATCCAGACTAAAACTAAGGATCTGTAATAGTTTTCAAAATTGTTTTCAAAAAAGAAATTGTTTCTAAAATTGTTTTCAAAAGTGACCAAGGAAGGATGATATGTGTACGGTGAGCCACAACAAGAAAGTATACCCTAAGTTACCCACACTGTTATTTTTTATGATGCTATGATAGAACTACATGCTAGTCATAGGCTAGGGATATTCAGGAATTGCATGATAGAATTTTCTGATGTATGATGTTTGATAACCTAGGAGAACTTCCTGTATGATATACGAAATTGACGTCATTACTGTAGATGCTTAATGTGTGCATCATACTTGTACGTAACTAAGATTTTATAGCATGAGAATGTTTGGTTTAGCCTTATTTTCTATTCCTTGTCTTCTTGTGGTTCTTAGGGTAGAATCAAGTGTTTAATTGTCTATGAAATCCAATGTTATGTGTGATTAGCATGCACGAGCGATTACAGGGTTGGTGGAAGTTTCATGAGTGAGTGTAGCAGGGCAGCTGAGGGATGATTAGCCACTATCGAGAGAGTGGATATAGGATGAATGTGTATCCTAGTTGCGATTTGTTTTAGGGTAGTTTGTGATGATTCATTGAGAGAAATACGGGTAGGTGTGGAAGGTAGTATGGGCCCGTACTACTGGAAGCATAGGACCCGTACACGTAGCAAGGAAGTCACAAACCCCAAGGGTTTAGCCTCTCTATGATAGTTGTAGTAATATAATTATAGCATTCCTGATATGTTTTTGGTTCATTTTTAGTATGGTGTTCATGAGAGGATTTGGTTTTGGAGTTGGTGGCCATGATAGGCTATGATTGACAGATGATGAAATCTGTGAGTTGATCGCAACTGAGGTAGCTGCTGTTGTTCGGGGTGCCATCCCCGAGGTTTTTGGGTCTACCAGGCTCGCTATGATTGAGTTTTTTAATGAGCGGTACGCCATCGTGGCAGAGGCATCTGCTGCAGCCGTCGCTGTTGCAGGAGGCCGAGGAGGAGGTTCATTCTAGCACTGGGATTTTAGCAACATGAAGCCCTCGAAATTTGATGGGGTCAAGGACGCGATTGTGGCTATGAGATGGATTTATGATGTTGAGGGCTGCTTCTTCACCCGTTCCTATCTGGAGGACTGGAAGGTTAGGTGCGCCCTGACCATTCTTCGGCTGGATGCGAAGGATTGGTGGAACCTGGTGACCGGTTCTTATACTCCTGAGTAGAGGGCTACTTTTACTTAGGAGCAGTTCTCGGAGATGTTCCGCATGAAATATGTTCCCCTAGTGGAGAAGGAGATATTGGGCCAGGGGTACCAAGATTTGAGACAAATGATGGGGACAGTAACGAAGATCACCAAGATGTTTACTAAGAGGGCTTTATTCTGTCCCGAGTTTGCTGCTTCGGAGCAGGCCCATATGACAC